GGCCTGGATTTGGACTTGAAAGTCTGGATCTGGACTGACCCCTTGACTTAGACCAGAACTGGGACTGTGCCTACTGACTTCACTTTTGGACAGGCACAACTCTAAACGAACAGACACATTTACTACTTGAACAGGCACTTTCCATTGCACGAACAGGTACACTGCCTACACGTACCGACACACCCTTACTCGAACAGACATGACATGCACATCTCCTGGTGAACAGGTAAGTCTTTTGACAATGCCCTTTGCCTTAGATCTAGATGTGCCTGTTGATAGAGAACTTGACTTTTGACCTGTTTTCACGTTTCTGAGCCCTGGCAAGATACCTTTTCACAATGCTTTACTTTTACAAGGCCCGTGCTGCTCTATTTTTACAAGGCCTGAGGCCTATATCGGGTAAAGGCCCTTTTATAATTGTACAGGGACAAATTATTGGCAGCCAGGCGGCAGCCTGAGGACAAATTTCCTAGCAGGAAAAAAATAAAATTATACATTTCGCTGGCTTTTGGCTAAGTAAGATCGAAGTTCATAGCATCTGTTCTGATCAGAGTCTGCTGGTACCTGATCTGTCGTCCATTTGGCAACACGGAAAATACTGATCTAAATTTTCCGGGCCCACGGGCTCCAGTCCCAAATGAAACAACTACTGAGTCATGGGAGTAGGCTTGCCTGCTCAACCCCTCCAGCATTGGCTTTGCATTGCACAACAGCAGAGGGCAGCGCGGCTCAAAAAGGAAGTTCCTAGCCCAGCTTCCACCCCCCCAGCTTTCAACAACCCCCCCCCACCCCAGTTTCAATCTGATGATTGTGATGATGTGATCTGATCTTGGTGTGTACGAGCATAGCATGGCATCTTTTTTTTTTTTTTTTTTTTTTTTTTAATAGCATGGCATCTAACTATCAGTGATACAAAGACTTGGATAAGAAAAGGAAAATTCAACTCCATAAATGGAAATAAGTTAAAAATAGCAGTGAAGTAGTAAATTCTGTCTGGACCTATGGTTTCCTTCCTCTCAAGATGCAAATAGTACAGTTTGTTGAGCCAGAGAAGTCGCCCTCGCAATAATTACAAGTGCCTTGGTTAAGTGACAACAAAGCATTGGTGGTTGTTATGATTTGGTTGAAACTTGCTTTTCCCTCCCTTTTTTTTATATATATTATATAATGAATCATAAATGATATTAGAATCCCCATTTTTTAAGAGACCATTCCATTATAAGCCGGAAATTGGGTCCGGCGTCCCTCACATAGATGCCACAGCCTTAAGGAGCTGAGCGAGGCAGTGCTGGCCAAGCCCATGCTGTTGAAACTTGCTTTTCCTCTCTCCCCTTTCTTTTTTCCTTCTTTTCCCCCAGAATCGCTTTTTTCTCTTTATTTCCTTTTGAACTGAAGTGAAAAGAAAGCAATGGTTGTTGTTAGAATTTGGATGAAACTTGTTTCTCTTTATTTTCTTTGTTTGCCAAAAGCCCTCTTTTTATAAACTAGGGCCCCGTACCCAAGGCACATACAGGAACAAGTTCCATCCGGGACAGCCGGGTGCCGATTATCCAAAAAGTTGCAAGGCCCAAAGAGTTACGGGGCCCCATCCCCGTCAACTTGACCATTGGTAGTGGTTATGATTTGGTTGACGATCGACAGGGCGGTATGTCATGCGTCCTTTTTGTTTCTTTTTCGCTTTGTTCTTCTTTTTTTGCATGTGAACACGACTCACTGCTAAGCATGGAAAGGTGATGTTACCTTGTCGACGTCCTTTTTGCAATGATGATTTTTTTTTTCTTTCTTTTTGGTACTTGTTTTCCTGCGATGTTGATTTGAGTGTGTGTTTCTTACAAGATACAGTCTTTGCCCACACACACATGCACACACACACACGCACACACACACACACACACACACACACACACACACACACACACACACACACAGAGACAGAGCTTGTGTGTGTGTGTGTGTGGAGAGAGAGAGAGAGAGAGAGAGAGAGAGAGAGAGAGAGAGAGAGAGGAGATCGGAAATCTGCATTAGAAGAGCTCCAAAGAGGAAACGAATTGCACATAGAGAAAAGAAAACCTTAGTTAAGGACTTAAACCACCAGTACTTCCTAACGTCGTGCCCGTAAACAAGCCGCGACTTTAGGAAACGTATGGCCCACTACAGAAGCGCCCAATTTCATCCGACTACAAACTTTTTTTTGAAAATGTTTCCCTATTTTTTTCCCTCAGACGATAGCTGGGCCACGTACTGGTGGTTTAATAGCACACAAAAGAAAAGTTTCGTGAGCCCCAGGCCCACAAAGCCGCAACAATTACCACCCTGACTTTTGATCAAACAGCTCAAGAATTCAAAACTCCAAATACTGACAGAGTTTTCGTAAGTTGAATGTGATTTTCTTTAATTTTCACTTCATGTTAGAAATTAGCTTGGTGTTAGGGGCTACCCCCCGGCTGTTACGAAAACAAAACAGGTCCCACTTCCCACTTACCAGTATGTTCTCCATTTCTGTAGGTCTAACTGTGCAATCAATGGCCACAAACACAGATCACTGTGCAAGTGGGGCCTTGCGCCCCCCATGTTCTTTTTGTCTTGTCCTCCCCCCCCCCAACACCACCATGTAGGCCATCCTTGTAGGGTAAGTAACCGAATATAGTAGGCAAAGAAAAAAAGCAAAAAAAAAACAAACGTCCTCATGAGTCAACGACCATTCTTTTCAGAAAACAAATTCCTTGTTCCTTCAATCCATGACTTCCCCTCTAGCACTCCCCCCTGTTGCCAAGTGGTTGCTGTGAGAGCCTTGCCGAGATGGCCTGATCGAACAGTTTATGGCCCCTGTAATTGAACCCCCGAAACTCTTTT